TATTCTATAAATTTATCTATAAAACAATCGAAAGCATTCAAAAAATAAGCACAAATTATGTCACCACATTATTCAAAACTAATTTCATTGATTGTTCCCATATTTTAAATCATTAATTAAATAAAAACTAAAATAAATCAATAAATTACAGTATTATCTAATGGTTATGTCATTTACGTAATATGTTTGCCATTCTTGATGACAGGAATCTTAACATTGGACTAGAATTGAAATCACTTCATAGAGAATTCTATACAATTCTGTTCAATGAAACTATTAGAGACATCTACTGCAAGTGTACCCAACAAATACCATGTAAAATATTACTGATAAAACCGGTATTTCTATTTCCCATTTACCGGTAATATAATATATTACCGGTAAATATATAATATATAATAATAATATAATATATAATATAACCGGTAATATATAATATATTATATTTATAAACAAAATTTAATTTAATCCACACACAATTAACTTAATTATATGACAAAAATTATTTGACAGTACAAATAGAAATTCTATGGTACTTTCTATATTGAACGGGATGTCTAGTAGATTGTCTGGTACTAAACCTCATGAGACTTAATTTTTGAAACATTTCCAATTTATAAATTAAAAAGTGAATATAGAGTCCGATTGTTTCTAAATATTTGTAAAGATTGAGAGCATTTATGACAAACGAGTTGTTAAACTTTTGTGACACACTTGGGGCTCAGATTGAATTGGGATAAGAGTGTAATAATAAAGTAAAGTGAATGCAAACCTTTCATATTTACTCTGAAGCAGGTCTTGAATGCAAGGAAGAAGAATCTGACACATGTCTAGAGTCCAGACGGCTCTGAAAGCAACACATATCGAGTTCATTAGTGAATGGTTAGAGAAGGGAAGGCTATTGTAAACTAACGGCTTTAAAGTGATGACATTGAGTATATCGACGATCACAGACTGGTCCTCCATATGGATGGCCTGTTCGAGTGCATTGCGAGAGTCCTTAGAGCTCCACATCGCGAGGATTATACACATGTTTTTTCGCCGATGAGATAATACAGTGACTATGGATTTGTGTCCTCTCATGATGGCGGACATGGCTTCAGACTCAGACATTTCTGGTTGTGGGTGAATACCCAACCGCATGGTGTCCTGCAAGTGCTTCGGTAGGAATTCGTCCAAATCGAGGCCCGCCGGGTGGTCGCGGGTCTCGGGAATCAGTTCTAAGGGCGCGTCTAAGGGCGAGGGCGGAG